TAAAAAAAAATTAACTTATGGAATGATTTATGTAGAGTGTCTAGTTACAAAATCAAAATGATAATAAACAGTTACAAAACTAAAAAAATAGTCTTTCTTATATATTTTTTTTTAATGCTCAAGGATTTGTTTGGTTGTAGGTTCTCGAAATTTTTATTATTAGGTTTGGGTAGACCGGAGATGCGACCCGAACCCAACCTATTTATTTTAGGTCAGGTACAACTATTCGAGTATCGAATCGGATATAGATCAGGTCCAATATACCCTAATTTGGTCTAGGTTCGGGTTTAGGATGTAAAGGTAAATCTGATCCGGACTCGATTAATATATTAATAATATATCAATTATTTTTTTAAAAATAATAATAATCTAACAATATAATTTATTAAAAATATTTTAATTGGTTTTTATTTATTTACTGGGATTTTATTGTAATATTTTTAAATAAAATACATCATTTTAAATAAATGCTGGGTCAATGTCCGAATTTGAATCTAATTTCGAGTTAAATTATTAAGACTTACAGACCCCAAATATACAAACAAATTAAAGTAATAATCAATGAGAGTTTAACAATTCTAACTCGTAGACTCAAAACAATCATTGATCTAGAATTGACATTGATGCTTCCCAAACTTGTTATTTATGAAACTATTAAAATAAATATTTTATTTAATATAAATATATAACATTTGATGAATATAATTTTTTATTATAATATAAAACAATATTTAATTTAATAATTTTAAAATAATAAAAAAATTGGGAAAATCCACAAGTAAAACTCAATCCAAATTTGCAATACATGTATTCACTGTAGGGTTTGTTTACTTTCTATTTTTTTTTATAAGTGTATTTTTTGTACTCCTCCGTCCCATAACAAATTATCCATTTTTTCATTTTAGTCCGTCTCATAACAAAATATCAATTTCCTTTTTTAATAACTGCTATCTAACATTACAAATACTCTTACAACTTACAATATATTATACAAATGTTATTACTTTTATATCACATATACTAATAAAGTTATTTTAGTCATTTCTACTTTATTCTTACTATATCCCAATATACTTCTTCTCCGGGAAAAGAAGTTCACGACCCGTGGGATTGTTTACCAAAAACACAGATCTCCGCAAAGTTGTAAGTCGTTCGGTTTGAATGCTACATGAAGAATATAAGCCTGATGATCTACCCCCTCCCCCCTTCTTCGATTCTCTAAATGTTATTTTTTATGTGCAAAAAGCAAATGAATACTTACTTATGGGACTAAGGGAATATATTAAATATAAAAAATCATATCACTATATAAAAAATTAATATTTATATTAATTATCTAAATGAATAAAATATATATTACATATATTAACACAATATATGTATATATATATATTTTTTTATAGATAATGTACCACCCAAAAAAATTTTGGATGAATAAATCGGTAATGTAACATGGGATTCATTTTATTGTAAATATTATAAAATTTCTAATAAATTTGTCACAATATTTTTATTTATTTCACTATTTTTTAATTAATTCTTCAATAAAATTTTATAATATCCTCAATTTATTTTTAATATATCAAATTATCATATTAAAATGTTATTACTTTATAATTTTCGTACTTCATCAAATTTATATAATTTTACTTAATGGAGAGTATATATATACCATAAGTATTGTATTAAGATTCATTGTGTTATTACTAATCCAAGATCAACAACACATATTCGCATAAGAATATCCCGAATATAACGAAAACTTAAAGAAATTTTTATATATTTCGAAATCAATAGAACTCGGACTCAGTTTACCCATATATCAACCGAAAACAACGCAAACACTCAATCATGACCCAAACCCAAGCGACATCTACAGAAACGCACAAACAACGCGAATCAAACCACAATCTAAGGAAACTTCAATATTCTAAGCCTAATTTCATCGCGGACAACAATATACACCACTAACAGCAAATCAGACTAGAATTGAAAAAGCAAACCGATGGACAGCCTCAGAATAGGTTGAACATCATCAAGCACATCGAATCCTCAGCTTCGCCGGACAAGACCACCGGAAAAATCGCAAGGAAGATCGGTTTGAAACCGCCGTCGGGAGGTTAGGGCTTCAAGAGAGAGAAAGGAGCGTTGTGAGAAAATGAGCGTGAACTGGGTTCAAGGAGGAGAACCGGTATATATATTAGACTAGTAATCAAGTCCAACGGTCCAGATTCAAGCCACCGATCCAACGGCTCTGATTGAGCCTCGCATAGACGGATAGGATCGCGGGTACCGGATCCGAATTTTGGATGAACGGGTCGAGTTGAGTATTATTGAGCCTCCAACAATTATAGGCCCAAAACCATCACACATTGTGACATATATTTTGTAAATTATTACCGTATAATATTAATTAATATATTACACTTATATTATATTAATATATTTTATATGCATATTGGCTTGTGTTTGATTGTTGATTATATATATATTATGCAAATTCATAAAATTTCATAAGATATTTTCCTTTTCAAGAATTGAACTCTCCAACATTATTGCAAAATAACTAGTCTAGTATTTTATTTATTTATAGAAATGTAAATAGAAAGTGACAGCTGAATTTTAAACCAATTTTCCATGTGGTTTCTTCGAAGACCATTCATTGTTATACATGACAGATTTTTATACTATTAAGACTTCGATTAAATGATTTGTAATTTTAAATTAAAATTAAAATTATTTTTGGGTGCAAATTCAAGTCTTACATTGAAAGTTGCGAAGAAAATTACACATCTTATAAGTCCCGAGTGAACTCCATTAGAATTAGGCTTTTTTAGAAAATATCCAAAAACAAATCCGTACGAACTCAACCCAAAACAGACGATATGAGTTGGCTCAGTCCCAACAACTATTAAATATATTAATATTTTTTGAAAAACATATCAATACTCTATTTCAAATCACAATTAAATAAAATTTTATGTTTTAAAATTATTAATCAATATATTTTTATTTGCAATGTAATATTAAAAACATGTTTTAAATATAAATATTAAATCATAATTTATTTTTAAAAATTCAAAAAACTCCCAATTTTTTTTCTAAAAAAGAATTGAGATTTGAGACATTCGTGAATGTGGGCTGAAGTATAAACCAATTTATGGATTGTAAGATTAGTAATTAAACAATGATTGGCATTATTACTCCCTCCCTCGTCCCATATAATTTGTCCCTATTTTCTATTTTCGTCTATCCCACGTAATTTGTTCATTTCTTTTTTGAAAATATAATTGTACACTTTAATCTCATTTTAAATTTTAAATTTTATAATTTTTTAAATTTTAATTAAACTATTTAGTTATATTAATCTTAATCCACAATTATTTTTATTATACGATAATTACTTTTAATAATATACTTCTTGATTACTTACTAATCACATTTTATATAAATTCTAATATCTACGGTAATAGGTCCATAATACATGGGACGGAGGGATTATTATTATTATTATCATTATTATTATTATTATTTTATTATGATAAATTGCATAATGCTCATTTATTTTAGCAAATATATATAAAATATTTGGTATTTTATATATATTATATAAAATTCTTATATTAAATTAAAATATGCACGAAAATACTCAATTTTAACCAAAGTAGATATTTAATTATAAATATTCATCTAATTATACAAATTTTATATAAAAAAAAAAATCATATAAAAATATTTAAATAGTTTTATTTGAATAAATTATATAAATGCATAAATAATCAACAAATTTTATATTTTTCAGAAAAAATAGGTAACATTTTTTAAATATATTGTTGGTAACTTATTTATTTATTTTATTAAAAATATTAAAATATTTTATTTTTTATTTATATAAAGTTTATAATTAAAAATGTATTTACGGATGAGGTTGTTCTTTCTATACTTTTTTTCTAAATATTTTTTCAAAAAAAATAGTGTGCTGAGTATATTAATTGTTTTTATATTTTCTACACAATTTTTATATATCACATATAACAAAATATTTTTTTAATAATTTTACAAAATAAACACACCTTAAATGAAAAAAGAAAATCAAGTAATAAATAAGATATGCTCTCTTCGCTTTTAGATGTTATATTTACTCCGTCATTGTACTTAACATAAAAAATATCGATATAATTTTTTCAAATATCTTCTCCTTCACTCCTAAAGGTCATATTTACCGATATTGTAGTTAACATTAAAAATGTTACTCCCTCCGTCCCACATACCGTGTCTGCTACACTGTAGACACGGTATTTTAGGAGAAGTGTAATTAGTAGATAATTAAAAATGTATTAGTGAAAATAATTATCCTATAATATAAATAATTATAAATTAATATTAAGATAACTAATTAGTTTAATTAAAATTTTAAAAAATAAAATTTAAAAGTTTAAAATGAGATTAAAGTGTATAATTATTTTCCAAAAGAGAAAAATGACATGGTATGAGACGGACAGAAACAACAACGTGGACATGGTATGTGGGACGGATGGAGTATATTATAAGACAAAAAGTAAATGAGACGGTATAGGCCTTGGCGGATGACAAAGGTAGTAAAATACTCCCTCCGTCCCAAACACCCTGAAATATTTCCTTTTTAGTATGTCCCAAACACCTTGCAATATTTTCTTTTTAGTATGTCCCAGACACCCTGCAACATTTCCAAAATAAAAAATAATTAATTATACTTAATCTCTACCCCACACTTTATCCGTTCACATCATCTAAATAAAAAAATAAAATATATATTTCTCTTTTCATTCACATCACCTAATTTTTAAATTATCTTACTTAATACTATCCATCTAAAAACACATGCCAAAAGCAAATGTTGCACCTTATTTGTTTGGGACGAAAGTAGTATTTTTTTTTTTGTATATTTTTAATAAATAATAATAATAATCATAATAATAATAATATTATATTAGAATACAGATAAGGATGAACATAGAAAGCAGTATTGGTAGAACACAGTAGCCAGCCGTACCTTCACATTTCCATTGCTGCTGCTGCTGCTGCTCCACATTCTTCGAATTTCTTCGCCAATTCTTCTCGATTGATTTCCTTAATCTCATGGGCTTTGTGGATGCAGTGTTGAAGAAGCTCTTCTCGACAAATCAAGCACCAATTGATGGCGACCACTTCCCCGATTGTTCTTAACTGGAATGTTCCCATTCTCGCAGTTATCCTCTCCCTGATCCAATCCCTTCCCATTCCCCCCTTTCATCTTCTCCTTATACTCCTCCACTCTCTCTTATAGGGTTTTCCATTCCCCGATTCGGAATCTCTTCGCAGTTGCAGCAGCCTTAATTGGATCGCAATCCATCGATTCTATGGCGTCGGTGTTTCTGTACCATGTCGTCGGCGATCTAACGGTGGGGAAGCCGGAGCTCCGCGAGTTCCCCGACACGGAGACGGTGGCGTCCGCGATTCGAACCATCGGCGATTCCTCTGAGGGAGGCATAACGGTGTGGAAGAAGAGGTCGCCTAAGAGCGCCATGGAGAATGCCGAGGCGAGGCAGCAGCGGTTCGTTGGGATCCTCAATGCGTGGGATATCGTCACCTTCTTAGCTAGAGAGGATTGTTTGGCCGATCAGGAAAAAGCTCTAAACACGCCTGTATCTGAAGTGGTTATCCCCAATAATTCTGCGCTCCAGGTCGTCGATCCAGGCACTAGGTATTGTATCCTATCCTCGCCCTAATTTTCGATTTGGTTGCTGCTTTGATGATCTGTTGCGGTTCGAATTCATCTGGCTAGGTTATCGCTGTGTGTTTTACTTCAAATTGCTTTGTCTCCGTTTTCTTCTTCTGTCTGACGCCATTGATGGTGGTTATTGCTTGAGAGAACGTATAATTTTTTGTTCCAACTGTTGATTTCTGAAATTGTATGGATGTTTCCATCAGTTTTGCCTGTTCTAGGGTTCTGCCATAGCTGGATTATTTGGTGTTCTGTGATTCTGCATCATTAAAACGAAATAGACCTGCTAGAACATATAGATTCAACTTATGCTTTCAATTTGCAGCTCTACATTAGATCATTGCTCCTTTGAAAAAGTATGATGAATTCAATTCTCCTTGATCATTCATTTCCAGGATTCTTGAATATTTGATTGCTTGTTACCATTTCTGAAATGCCATAATTGCCTTTCTGTTAATCCTGCTAGAATCAATGGAATCGATCCATTTCTGTGATTGTGAGGTCTTTCTTCTCCCCATTATCGATACTAACCCTTTCCCTTTCTTGTTTAAGATTGATCGATGCTTTGGAGATGATGAAACTAGGCGCAAAGCGCCTCCTTGTCCCAAAAAGTCTCGTCTGGAGAGGAATGAGCAAACGTTTCTCAATCCTTTACAACGGAAAGTGGCTCAAAAACGTCGATCCCTTAGCAGGCAGTAGCTCCAACGCTTTACTCAGCGCCAACCGTCTGCAACAGTCGTCATCTTCGACATCCTCCATCCAAGACAAGTTCTGCTGTCTATCCCGAGAAGACGTCCTCCGATTCCTCATCAACTGCTTAGGCGCCATAGCCCCATTACCTCTTTCATCCATAGCCTCCCTCGGAGCGATCAATCCCAACTACTGCTGCATCGAAGCATCCTCCCCGGCTATCGACGCGATCAAGAAAGTCCCCCGCGATCCCTGCGCAGTCGCCGTCGTCGAGCAAACCCTTGACGACCGTCACAAGATTCTCGGCGAGATATCCTCGATTAAACTCTGGCGTTGCGACTACATGGCCGCCGCTTGGGCGTTGGCAAATTTGTCGGCGGGGCAGTTCGTGATGGGAGTCGAAGACAAGTTTTACAACACGGTGGGGGGATCCCATCAAGAGTCTTCTTTAATCGACGGCGATACGAGTTCAGGCGATTCGGGAGAGAGCCCGAATCGGCTGCGGAGATTCAGCAGCAGAAGCGTGGGCTTCTTCGGAAACTCGTCAAACCCGAATTTCGCGAGGAGCATTTATCGCGGAAGAAGCGCACCGTTGACGTGCAAGGTGACGAGCTCACTGGCGGCGGTCATGGCGCAGATGTTATCCCACCGGGCGACGCATGTTTGGGTCACCGACGAAAAGGACGACCTGGTCGGCGCGGTCGGGTATGCCGATATATTGACTGTGGTGACAAGGCAACCTGCGACAGCCATTTCGGACAACAATGCTGCATCATGAGCAACCAAATGTACCCTGGTAAGAAGTATGAATATCTGGCCTTTATATACATATATATATATATATATATACTTGTTTTGTAGGATTTTGGATTCCATGGGATGGTATTGAAAGTCTTTTGTGTGCAATAATAAGTTTTGCATGAAGGCCATAATTGGTAAAATGTTGGTACAATTTAGGTTGTGTTTTTTATTTTTATTACTCCCTCCATCTCCGTATCTATTTTTTCATTTGGGTATCTATTTTTTCATTTGGGTCTGTCCCATAATATCCATTTTCTTTTTTAGTAAATATACTATCTACATAATATTACAAATACTTTTACGATTTCTAATATATTACACAAATATTATTACTTTTATATCACATAATACTAATAAAGTCATTTTAGTCATTTCTATATTATTCCTACTATATTTCAATATAATGCTAATATTTTTAAAATTTCATGCAAAAAGCAAATGAATATCTAGTTACGGAAGGGAGGGAGTATTATTGTTTTTTGATATTAAGCTTTCATGTGAGCATTAGGTAGAAAATTGAATCCACTTTCTAGTGGGGATTTGGAGTGTTTACAATGGCTTTGGTTAAGTAACGTAATATATAGTCCACACAGTATATTGATTGATTGAACATGTGTAGCATGTGTAGCAAGCAAGATTTGGACCTTACGATTACTACGAGTTAATCCGACACAACAAGATCTGATCTCACAGTTACAATTTTACTCCAGACCGTTAGACTATCTCTTACGGGATAGGCTATAACTATTTTTGATCGTACTAAAGTTGGTTATGACGTCACATTCAACTGTCATGTCTTTTTGATCATTTAATAAATTTTTCGGTTAAACCTTTGGATTGGCCGGATTTCGCTCATTCGCAAGCACCATGAGTTTGTCGATTTCGAAAATCGAAGCTCCCCTACAAATAGAAAGTTAGTATTTTATTTATCGTTTTGTAAGAAAATATATATATTTGATGTGATGTTATGATATGTTTTTTATTTTTTCTCTCTCTCTCTCACAATTATTTAGTTGAAATATTTAATTGGAATATACCATAATTAGTTGTTCTATATTACAATCAAATCAAACTTCAAGCAAGATAATGTTAATTCAAAGGGTTTAGCAAAATTGTAGATAATAAAGTAGGTAGGTAAAATTGTTAGAGCTTTAGCAAAATTTGAAATATGACAAATTCAAATCTAATGATCTAAAATTCTAAAATTGAAAGGATAGGACGAATTTAACTGCGTAATGGATTCCGCAAATTTAATCAAGATGTAAGAATTTCTAAGAGATTTTGCATAAGAATTTTTTAGAGAATTTTTGGAACGAATAAGTTAGCGTAATGGATTCCGCAAATTTAATCAAGATGTAAGAATTTCTAAGAGATTTTGCATAAAAATTTTTTAGAGAATTTTTTGAACGAATAAGTTATATAGAGTTAATTTTGGCAGAGTTATTGAAATAATATTTAAATTACTTGATTAATAATTATGAGCTAACTCAAGCCAATGTCCAAATCAAATCCAATTTAATCTATATCCCATTGTCCATTTATTATTATTGAGATAAAAATACAAATAAAGATAAGGTAGTTTGTTTATGTTTCCATTTAGGACACAACTTTTTATATTCTTATTTCTTCCTCTTTCACATACCCATGTAACAAAAATCATATTTTGGAGAAAGAATATACTCCCGTTGGCTCTAGTCTGTAAGGTATTAGATTCGATCGGAGGTTTACTCAGTGCGTATTTTCGGGTAACGGCTGCGGGTTTCCATGTCATCCAAAAAAAAATATAGAATTTACAAATCAATAATAAAGAGTCATTTAAGAGTAGTGTAAACCGATTCAAGGCCATATTAGTTGTAGCAAAGAAAAACAAAAGATTTATGTAGTAAGTTTGTTGTAAGAATAGAGTTTTCTTAGATAATTTAGAGAGTACATGAAATTCTCTAGTTGTTATAAGAGATTAAAAATAACATTTATTTATACTTTTGGAAGGGAATCAAAGAAAATCCATATAGTATTGAAATTTATAAAATATTGAATAATTAGGAAAAAAATTTAAATTTTTTTAAAAAGTCATAATATTTTTCATTGTGAAGGCAAAAATTGTAACATCACTATTAATCACTAAAACTCACAGAAATTTATTGACCTATTATTACATTCGATAAATGGTTATCACAGTGAAATTATAAATAATACAAATAGTAAATGTTTATTGATTTGTTTATAATTGAGATATTAAGGTCTGGTTTGTATTATGTCTGATTTTGGGCTTATTCAGATTGGTTTTTTTTTTAAATAAAAATGTTTAAATATAATAAAGTTGAAAGTATTTATAAACTTCTAAAATTATCAAATAGGTCATATTCATGTGTTGTAATTAATTTATGTCAACATAATTCATTGTGTTGGTTGTCAATTCGTTTATATATATATATTGTGTTTATATTTATATATTTATATCTTTGATTAAAAATCCACTTTTCAGATATAGCTGAAAAAAAATAAACAAAGTTCGAAAATTCGATTCAATTCGTCAAATAATTTTTTAATTTATATATTTTAAAAACATATTATAAGTATATAATAAAATAAAAATTAATTATATATTTAATGTTAAAATTTTTAGTTATCTAAAAATATTATTTTATCATAATTTATTTATTTAAACTAATATAATTTACTTTTAATAAAAAATAATGCAAAATTAAATTTAAAAAAAAAAAAAAAATTAAACTCAAACTTCCCCGCCCGACACAATTTGAACTGGGTTGTGTCCGAGCCTAAGCTCATAAACCCGATTTAAAACAAAACCGGACTTGTCCCCGGATCAACCCGAATTGCCACCTTTACTTTTAGATTAAAAATTAATCTTAACAATAATCAAGATTGTATTAATAACCTAATCAGCATCATAACTCTACCTCATTTAAAAATGCATGCAAATCCTAATTTTGAAATCCCAAATCTTGATTCTTGAATTACAATAACTCACTTAAATACTCCTACTACCTTCATAAAGACAGTAATAATAATACTACAACAACTGAGCTGTAGGGGTCATCAAGAAAACCATGGGAATGGACCATTCTCATTCCACCATGTTTTTATTTCACCAAAACAAACACATATACTGCCCCCTCAACCCCCAACCACCCCTCCTCCCAAATCATGCACCAAAGTTTAAGTAAAATTCAATTTTTTCAACCCCTCATCAGATAATATTAATGAATTCATCATAACAAGAATCACCCATTTTCAAAACCAAAAAAGGGGCCCCTAAATCTGTAATCAATCCACAAATGTAATCAACAAATACCAAAATACTTCTTCATTCAATCATCCCATCATCACTTCTTCCAAATCCCACTACACAAAACCAAAATCCCCTTTACTTCTTCAAGAAACAACAACAATGGCTACCAATAATCTCTCTCTCTCTCTCTAAACAAGAAAATCATCATCATTATCATCATCATCATCATTTCCTATCCACTATCCCTTAGAAACAAAACTCTAAAACAAACAAACACATAATACTAATAAGAATACATTATCTTCCTTCCCACCCCCACCCCCAAATGCAAAACTTCATTCAATTGGTTTGTTTCTAAAAGCACAAAAAATTAAAAGGGGAACTCAATCAATCAATCAGATATGGCATCCAAAGCAATTGCAAGTCTTGGGAGTAAATGAACAGAATCCAAAAGGCCTGTTTGGAATGTTGCAGTTGATTGCATAGCAACATGGCGATAGTAAACAGGAGCCCTTGCTTTCACCCCCACAGCACGTGCACAATGAACACACCTGGAAGCTCCCAAGCTTCCTCCTGCTGTCGTTCACCATTACTCTCATCTCCACCTCCCCCGCCGGCACCATCTCCGCCGGAGATGCGCCCCCCTGCAAAAATCCAACCCCCAATTTCGTACAGTAGCCGGATTTGCACTCAAAATCATCTTTCAATTTTTCGCGAATTTTCAAATTAGGGTTTAGAGATTCGAGAAAAAACTAACTCACCGTGTAGAATCCGATTCCGAGTAGAGAGGAGATGAGCAGCAAAATGAACACGCCCATTGGACGCATCTGCAAACGGTTTTTCTTCCGCTTCTGATTAGGGTTCCTGGCCCGGCCGACTATCGATCGAATGAAAAATTGCGAGGCGTTGGATCTTTGATGAGGGGAAAAGTGGGAGTATTGCCTGACAAGTAAGTTTGATTGGGTGAAGAAAAGGTGGGGTTTGCTGAAATTGAACGGCAATTAAGATGGGGCTGGTTCTGCAAAAAAAATTGAAATCTGATGTTGGATTGATCTGCTCTTCCTCTTCCCGGATCTTGATGTTGATGATGATCTTGAGAGGGAAGAATGGAATTGGGGCAAAAGGGATAGAGAAAGAAAAAAAAAAAAAGGAGAGTGAAGTGAAGCGGTAGTGACAATAGGTAGGCAATAAGCAATAGTGGTGTTACTTTTTTTTTTTCTTTTTCTTTTTTTTTTTTTTAATATCCACAATATATTAAAAATAAATTAAAATTGATAAGGGGTAGCAATAATGAGGATTGTCTTTGAATCTCACATGCTCATTTTCTTTTGTTGTGGTTAGGCTTTGTTTTAGGGGTTTTCTTGTCTTTTTCTTATAATAGAAAAGAAATAAAAATGTATATATATATATATATATATATTTGAGGACCGCGACCTAAATTCAACACTGTATTGACAACAGATCACATCGTATGCATTGTAGTCTTATACAATATAAAAAATAGTTGATTTCAGCATACTACATACTATTATTTAGCACACTTGTAATTATGAATTAACAATACAAATACACCAAACGAATTAACAATATATGTTATAGTCTTACACAGCGCATACTGTTATACACTACCATTTTTTTATTTTTGTATGACCCAAAATAATGATATCATTTTTTAATTTAAATAATTGTACTACTTAACTAACAAAATAAATACCCTTACAACTAAAATATATTATACAAATATCATTATTTTTATATCACACTATATTAATAGGGACATTTTTTTTTTACTATAAATTAATATAATATTATATTAAAAAATTTATGCGCAAAACATGAACGGAGGGAGTAGTGAATTTGGGGATACGTATGATTCTACTCCCTCCGTCCCACATAATTTGTCCTTTTTTTTTTTGGAAAATTAATTATACACTTTAATTATATTTTAAAATTTAAAATTTAAATTTTTTTTAATCTTAATTAAACTATTTGATTATCTTAATCTTAATCTATAATTATTTTTACTAAATAATAATTGTTTTTATTAATATATATTTTAATTATTTACTAATTATACTTTACCTAAATTTTCGTGTCTATGGTAATACATTCATATTACATGGGACGGAGGGAGTAATATATTAACATAAATATACATATGTGCGGTGGATGCGTATGATTTTAATGCATTATAATTGGGGTTTTATTTTTTGTAAGATTTTTAGTTAAATTTAAGTTTAAGTAGAATGTTAATATTTTTAGATAAAATGATTTGTGGTAAGTATGAAAAATTGTACAAAAAAATATAAAATATATTATTTTAGTTTGAATTTTTTTTTTTTGTAATGATGTTTTTGATTTTTTATAATAAAAATGTTATTCTCTCTGTCTAAAAGAGTTGTCTTGTTTTTTATTTTCGTTCGTTTTAAAATAATTGTCTTATTTTTTTATTTAGTAATTGTGGTCTCCACTTTATAACAAAATTATTCATACTTTTCCAAACTATCATTAATTATTACTCTAATCTACTTTTTTAAATCCTTAAAAAAAAGCAAAGACATTTTAGTCTTTTACATTCTATTTTATACTCACTTTCAATTAAATAATATTATTCCTTAATTTTTATGTCAAACACCCAATAAGACGTCTATTTTGGGACGAAAGGAGTATTATTTTATTATTTTTTGGTTTTTGTATAAAATATTTAGTATTTTTATTATTATTTGTGGAGATCGCAATTAAAAATAATTTTGAAAGAGCAAAAAAGTATTTTACTCCATCGTTTCCATAAATATAGTCTTAATTGGGTTCGATATAAAATTTAAGAAATATTGATATTATATTAGTAGCAGGTAAAAAGTATGAATAAAAGACTTTTTTGCCGTTGTGAGTGTATTAGTGTAAAAAGTAGTGGCAATTGTGTAATAAAAAAAAATATAGGTAGTTTTACGGTGATATAGTTATTTATGGAAATAAGACTATTGTTTTAAGACGGACAAAAATGATAAACAAAATTGAGAATGAAGGAGTATATGAAAAAAATAGTTTTAATGAAAGAGTATATGAAAAAACATAGTTTTAATGAAAATGTGATTAAATAGTATTTATTTTAGTTTAAAATTTAAACCAAAATACTACATGTGTAATGATCAAAATATGTGCTTTTTTTTTTTTTCCCTTTTTATCAAAAGTTGTTTACTATTTGGAGTTTGTACTCAATCTGTTTCATAATAAAATATTTATTTTTTTATTTTAGTCTGTCTCATAACAAAATATTTTTTTTTTAGTAACTGTACTATCTATTTAACATTATAAATACTCTTACAATTTATAATATATTGTATTACACAAACACTATTACTTTTATATCACACAATACGAATAGGCTTATTTTAGTCATTTATACTTTATTCCTATTACATCTCAATATAATACTAATATTTCTAAAACTTCGTGTAAAAAACAAACGAATACTTAGTTACGAGAAGAAGGGAGTACATTTTTGTTTCTAGTACTCCCTCCGTCCTATTGAAAGGTTATCATTTTTCATTTTCGTCCGTCCCAAAACAAGGTTACCATTTCCTAATTTAGTAATTGTACTACATACTTCACATAATAAATACACTTTCAACTTACAATATATTACACAAATATCATTACTTTTATATTACACTATACTAATAGGGGTATTTTTGTTTTTTTTACTACAATCCAATATAATACTAATATTCAAAAATCTACCTGCAAAAAACAAACGCCACCCTCGTTGCGGGATGGAGCATAGCATTATAAGAAAAGAAACAATCCCTACTTTTGGTTTACTGACAATAAATATTTTTACATATTTTTGGGTTGTGAATTTTTTTTGAATTTTTTATTTTAATTTAATATTTTATAAAAAAAAATAATAATCCTTATAAATTTTATAGAGAAATAAGTCAAATAACAATATATACTTTTATCCATTTTAAAAAAATTAATAATTTAATAAAAAAATATTATTTTTTATATTATGGACATTATTTTTCATATTTAACATAAAACTAAATTACACACACCCAATATATATATTTCTATCAAATAACACGTAAACATATTTAAAATAAAACTAAAATAAACACTCCCAATATATATATATTTGTATCAAATAACACGTAAATACATAGTAAAAAATAGAAACATTTATAAAATGATCAAATATCACTATTTCCGTATGTTAAAATATCTTTAAGTTATAGGGCAAACTTTATAAATAATACTCCCTCTGTCCCAGATGCCATGTCCACGTTGCCGTTTCTGTCCGTCTCACGTACCATGTCATTTTTCTTTTTTGGAAAATGATTACACACTTTAATCTCATTTTAAATTTTTTAATTTTTTTTAAAGTTTAATTATTATTTTAACTAATATATTCTTAATTATCTACTAATTACACTCCTCTTAAAATACAGTGTCTACGGTGTAACAGGCACGGTATCTGAGACGGAGGGAGTATGATAAGATAAAAACTAGGGGTTCTTATAATTTTATCTGAAATGTTTAAGAATATTTTATTAATACAAAAAAATTCAAATTTATCAAATAATACTTCCTCCGTCCCACGTCTCATGTCCACTTTTTTATTTTCGTTTGTCCACTTATTTTTTCACTTTTTTTTTTAAAGAATTATACACTTTAATTTTATTTTTAAAAGTTTAATTTATAACTTTTTAAATTTTAATTATAATTTAAAAAAATATAATTATTTACTAATTATACCCCTCGTAAATTCGAATAATACAGTAAAAAATATATACTTTTATTTGTGAACGTTCAACAACTATTTATTAATAATAAAAAAATATAAAATTATATATTCAAATGGGCCGGATCCCAATTTCTTATTTGGGCCCATCAGATTTCTTGCTTATAATATATATATAATTGGAGGACGCTAGGGTTTCTCTCGACTAGCCACAAGCTTCTTCCTGTTCTTCGAGTTCTGCCGCAAACATGGTGAGTTTGCCTATCCTTTCTTCCATCTGGTATGTTAGATTCAATTGTTCATCTGAGGTCAAGTAGATCTTTGAGAATACCGTTTTGATTTTACGGCTGCGTTCGTGGTGGTAATGGTTGATGATAATTATTGTGATGTCTGGTGGATGTTCTTTAATAGTAATTCTCTTTTGTATTTTTTTTCGGTTTTTGATTTTCTTTGTTTTGCGCTTATTTGGATGGATGGTTTGAATTGAAGTAGGTGCTAGACATGAAAGTAATGGAAATTTATTCGATTTTTAATGTCTCCTTTCTGGACTCAAGTTCAAACAAACTTAGTGAGGATTCTGAATCTATTAGTATATAATTTTTCTGTAATTAGGTCTAGTGGTTTTCAAATCCAGGAGAATTAGATTCATTCATCCAATTGGTTAATTTATCTTCTTTTCGCGTATTATCTGTGAAAATTGAAAAGCATGTATCGAAACAAATATATAGAAATTCCTTAGTTCAACCGCAAGCTTCACTGTAAGTTTCTTAAAGGTCTTTTTCAATAAACTAAACATACCCTGGTTTATTGTTCAAAGATCCTTAATATGCTCAGTTTGTGTTATGGATTATGGATATCTGAAATCACAATGTACTTGCTTAAATTTGTGGTTTTTACCTGAATCAAACAAATCCCCTATTGTTTGTGTTTAACTTATTGTTCCCTCTGTGGTTTCCAGCCTAAGCAAATCCACGAGATCAAGGATTTCCTCCTGACGGCAAGAAGGAAGGACGCCCGGTCGGTGAAAATCAAGAAGAGCAAGGACATGGTGAAGTTCAAAGTCCGGTGCTCCAAGTACCTCTATACTCTCTGCGTGTTTGATGCCGAGAAGGCTAACAAATTGAAGCAATCTCTCCCACCAGGTAATCCAAAGATTCCAAACACACCTCACATTTCTCGGTTTTACTTCAATGTGGCTTAGGGTATTGAGTTCTTGAAGTTATATCTGCTTTATCCATTGACATCCCTTTTTTTTTAATTGTATCTTTGGTGCAATCACTAATAATGTAAATGATAATACATTTGATGAATAACATGACATTTTTTGCTGATTGTTGTGTAGGTCTGAGCGTTCAAGACCTGTAGACAGAAATCGACGGGGACACAACATTTTGTGGTGAGATCCGGAGAGTTTTGTTCCATTGGTTTTTGCTAAAGACTCCATATCCTATCCTTTGTCTTTGTTATTAATTTGATTATGTGACTTTGGCATGTTAGCCTGAACTATGGTTTGTTTCGGTTTTAATTAGTTGCATCTTTTATGCCTTTTCTTGGTGAAAGCTAATCTTCTCTATTCAAGCTTTAGCTGTTATTTGTGGGATAATATGGTTTTTTTTTTTTTTTTTTTCCATTTTGATGGGATGATTATTAACATTGATTTTATCAAATTTTTAATAGATCATACATTGTGTTGAGATTAAAACACGAAATTGATTTAAGGCTGATGTAATACTACATTGAGGCATCCGGTTTGAACTCATGACTTCAAGGTCACAAGTTCAATCCCTGTACATAGGACGTAATTATTGGATGTTTTTAGTGATCTAGTTCAAAAAATGACTAATTGTGGGCACAGTTGTAGTAAGTGATGCTTTTTCCGCTACCCAGAGTTTATTATTTTTAATGTCCCTTCATTTGGTTCTAAATGTCTCATTTATTTTTTGTGTTATTGTATTTTATATTAAAATATTTTTATATTTGTTTTTTATACACTAATAGAAATATTTTTGTTGTTTTCTTTTAATTTGTATTATATTTTCGTATAATAATTAATATTAAAATAAATAAATAAATAAATGAAACCGTTAGGACTTAGTAATACTTCCTCCACCTTAAACACTTTGTAATATTTTTCTTTTTGGTATATCCCAAACACTCTAATTATATTTAATAAACATTCTAATTATATTTAATTTTTATCCCATACTTTATCTCCTCGTATTGTTCAAATAAAAAAATAAAATATATATTTTTTTCTTTTATCGTATCATCTAATTTTTAAATTATCCTATTTAATACTATCCAGCTAAGAGGAAAGAGGTAAGGATTTTTCCCAATTTATGTATTTAGTGAGTGTGATTGAGTAAACGTTACAATTTAAGATACCACCACTCCTTTATAATTTTTATATTCAGTAAGAGTGATTGGGCCAACTTTGCAATTTAAATATCATTACTTTTCTATTTAGACAAAAAAATAAAAATAAAATTTTGAAGTTCCAAAATTCATGACAAATAAAAATAGTGATATTTGTATAATAATAATAAAAAAAAGTAAAATAATTTTATGATGATATAAGTATTTATACAAATAAAATTATTGTATTGTAATAAAAAGAATATATAAGTAAATATTCATTTGTTTTTTGCACGTAATTTTAGAAATATTAGTATTATACTGGGATATAATAGGAATAAAATAGAAATGACTAAAATAATTTTATTAGTATGGGCGATATAAAAGTAATGACATTTGTATAATATATAGATATTTTATTATGGGACAGAATAAAATGGAAAAATGATAATTTGTTATGAGATTTTGAATATATATAAATATATATTTATTAAAAAATATATACAAATAAAAATTTTGAAGTAAATTTTGAATAAATCTCATAATATTTTGAAAAATAAAAAAAACATATAGGGTTGGGATGGTAACCAAACATAGCCTAGATAATCTAATTATCATTAAAAAAAAAAAAAACTCTCTTTCCAAAACTTGTGTTTGGCACGAATTCAAAAGATATTAATATTATATTGATAGTTGGTAAAATGTACTAGTAAAAAATTTTTTTGCCCTTGTGAGTGTATTAGCGCAAAAAATAGTGGCAATTGTGTAATAATAATAAAAAAGTAAGTGTAGTTTTATAGTAATATGATTATTTATAAAAATGACACTATTGTTTTAAGACGAAAAAATTAATAAACAAGAGACAGAGGGAGTATGTTTTTTTAACCCAATGTATTAATTTATATTTTAAATTAATAAATAATACTCCATCCTTCCCATATACCATGTCCAGTCCGTCCCATATTTTATGTCACGTTGTTTTTTAAAAAATAGTTACACACTTTAATCTATTTTAATCTTAATTTATAATTATTTATATTATACATAATTATTTTCACTAATATATTTTTTAATTATTTTTATTAATATATTCTTAATTATCTATTAATTATATCCCCTCTATACCGTGTCTACAGTATTACAGATGTAAATGAGACGAAGGGAGTAATATTTTATCGATGAAATGGCAAGATAATTTTAATATTTTTATTTAAAAAAATAAATATTTTTTCTGAAGAAGCATGTAAAATTAGAGAATATTCTGGTAATATACTCCACCTTCACTTTGAAAACAATTGACATTGTGCAGTTTTAAGGAAGGAGTAACATGGTGTAGTGTAGCGTAGCTATGTGAGAGTGTGCTCGGAATTGGTACGATAACTGTGATGTAATTAATCGCGTCGTTAGGGATTCGTGGGTAGTACAATTGTCGAGCGCCTGCCTGCAGAATCAATTCCTACATTTCTCTCCACCCTTCCTTCTAATTATGTTGCTCGATTGCTGCTGCTGCTGCTCCGGCGACGGCGCCGGCAGCACTAGCGAAGCCGTCGCCTGTAGAGATCCGGTGCTGCTGGTGTCGGGGGTGGGGGGGTCGATTCTCAACTCGAGGACTAAGAAATCCGGATCGGAGATGCGGGTCTGGGTCCGGATCCTGTTGGCTGATTTTGAGTTCAAGAAGAAAGTCTGGTCCATCTACAATCCTGAAACTGGTTGGTTGCTTTGTTTGTTTCTGCTCACGACTTTCAATTTGGCTTTGTGTTTGTGGTAACGAGTTCGATTTGATTTCTTTTGTGTTCCGCAGGGTATACAGAGCCGCTGGATGATAGCACTGAGATAGTAGTGCCTCAGGACGACCATGGCCTTTACGCCATTGATATTCTGGACCCTTCCTTGGTGAGATTCTCGCTCTTCTTTTTGTTCAGTTAAAAATTCAAATCATGGTGTTTTCAGTTCACCTTGTCAAGGAGTTTGTTGGTATAGATCGTGGCTGTAGATTTCTTTTGGAAGTTTGTTAGAGGCAAATTTGCTGTTGTGCTGTGTCTATGTGGATTTGGAAATGAGAATGCATTTTGTTTCCCTCTTGAGCTCTGAAGTTGTCGAATTTCTTTTGGAATTTGCTGTTATTGTAAAGCATGTCATGGCGTCGCACAAAAACAATCTGAATTAGATTCGTGATCTTTTGTATGCTACTTTTTCTTGCTTTAGTCTTGTGTAGAACATTCTCGGGATGAAGTAGATTCTAGACGGCATAGGACATAAGGTGTTACATTTCATGTTGTAGAAAGCAATTGCGAATTGCTACTAATTCTGTATTGATATCCCATTTATGCATGATCGATGCTCCCTGACTGTTATTTTTGTATAAGTTGCATACTGTGGAATCATATACTGTCGACTTCACTGTTTAGAATCCTGTAAAAATTTGCAGTGAATTTCCATAGAAGGAACTTTATTGGTGTCTTAACATTGATATTTTTAATTCCCAGCTTGTGAAGCTTCTGCACGTGACTGATCTATATCATTTTCATGATATGATTGACATGCTCGTTAAATGTGGGTACAAAAAAGGAACAACACTATTTGGATACGGCTATGATTTTCGACAAAGCAATAGGTAGTTAGTTTACTACGGTACTACCCATTTACAACAGTACTTTCTATTTATTCGCATACGGTTTCTAGCCTTTTGTTATCATAAATTGATTGGGATCATTGTTAATGTTTTAATGTTTTAGAATCGGTCAGTTAATGGATGGATTAAAAGAGAAGTTGGAGACTGCATATAAAGCTTCAGGAGGAAGGAGAGTCAACATAATTTCTCATTCGATGGGGGGATTGCTCGTCTCTTGTTTTATCTCCCTTCACAGTGAAGTATGCTTTGCTCATTTTTTACTTGCATTTTTACAACTTTCTGTTTCGAGAGTCTAATTCATCCTACTGGTAAAACAATCTATATGCTTCAGCTCAGTTCTTTTGAAGCTTGATTTCAGTTTTTTTCTATGAAATCCTTATGATTCCCTATAAAATTACACTATTTTGTCTTTTACATCATTTCATCCAAACCACACTTCACACCAAAACTGAAAGCAAACTCCAAAAGAACACAACTAGCTTATAAGTAAAAATAATTATTCGTAGGTTATTATCTAGTGTTCACGAGTTATTTTTGAAATAAGATATCTTACAATATTTATTGTTATAACTAGGATTAATCTAGCTAGCATTTTGTTACCTATGATGTAATTTAAAATTATTGTAGGCTCCAAGTTTGAGTCTTTGTTAACTGTTGTTATTATTCTCTACATGAGGTTACTTTTCTTTTTACCAGTTTAAATAGGAAACAGCAGTATCATTTCATTTTCTTAATATTTCGTAATATACCTTTGACAGCAGGCGTTCGAAATTAAGCATTTTCTTACTTACAAAGGCTTGATTTAAAGGTTACCATTGACTTGCAGATTTTCTCCAAATATGTGAGTAAGTGGATAACGATCGCCACTCCATTCCAAGGTAGTCTGTTCTCATATGATGCTGCATACACACCACATCGAACAAGTATAATTATTTTACTGAAGATTGAGCCGTATGGATCTCTAAATCCTGCTTATAGTATGTTTTACATAGTGACACCATCAAGTATGATATCTTTTGTGTGTCTATTAAATAAGTCTCTAAGACCAGTTTGATAGCACGAATGTTTAAATATTCTGGTTGAGAATACGTTGCATCACTGAGATAGAGGAGTTGCTAGTTGCTACCTTTCTCATCAAACATTCGTATTTCTCTGCATTTTAATTGCATTCTTAGTTCATCGCGGACAGCTGAAATTTCCTAAGTATTTTTGGATCAATCTTGTGGTATGATGTTTGCGTTTTTTCGATATCTAATTGTTTCTGCTGGCCAAATGGCTTTCTCACTTTGATCTAACTTGAATAGGTGCGCCAGGATGTATCAACGACGCTATGCTCACTGGACTGCAGTTTGTCGAAGGCTTTGAAAGTTTCCTTTTCGTATCGAGGTGGTCAATGCATCAACTGGTAAATTATCAGTAGAATTTTGTGAAAATCGATAACCTTCAGCAAATTGGGAATTCATTCTTTGATTACATTCTTGATGGTTGTTTTCACTTTTCATCCACCACATTAATCCCTTTTGGGTAATAATAACCATTCTACACTTGTACAACCTGTCGAAAACACGTTGATTGTATTTATTTATATATTTTCCAGCTATAAAGAATACATCGATTCTGGCACAGCGGCGCACTGTTTCTTGTCACCGCAATGCATTTTCTACATCTAATTTAAGCTGATGGAAAACATATAAAGGCTAGGGGTGAAAACATAAGTGTGTTCATTCACTGGTTTTGATTCTGTGGCTGCTGTCTGTGTTCTGTCATCTTCCAATTTAATTGTATTGATGTGCACTTAGCTTGTAGAGTGCCCGTCGATTTATGAAATGCTGTCAAATCCTGATTTCAAATGGAAGAAAGAACCCGAGATTAAAGTGTGGCGAAAGCATTCAAACGACAGGGAAACTTCAGTTCAACTAGAAACTTACGGCTGTATCGAATGCATTACGCTGTTTGAAGAAGCATTAGAAAACAATGAGGTACTTTATTCTGCATAACATCATTATTTAATCCTCCATAGTATTAGTAGATGATTACTGAATTCTCACAATTTCACGGATATATTCTATTCGAATAATCTTTCGTTGCCTCATATTGCAGCTAAATTATAATGATAAAACGGTGGCTCTTCCGTTCAACCGTGCTATACTTAAATGGGCTGCTGGCACGCGCAAATTGCTCAATAAAACTCGACTTCCGGAGGGCATTTCCTTCTACAACATATATGGAACTTGTGTCGATACACCTTTTGATGTTTGGTAAGTCACTAACTAACTAAATCCTGGACATGAACGATATGCATCATCTCTGTAATTGTCGTGCCTTCCTCTATCTGCAGCTATGGCTCAGAATCTTCTCCCATCGACAACGCATCTCAAATATGCCACACATTGGTGAGGCATTGCAGAACAAGTCTAAATTTAACTTGCAAGTTTTTCGTGTTTTTAATTTAGTCGTAATAACTTAGTATCGATCTTATTGATTTCAGCCGGAATACACCTATGTCGATGGAGATGGAACCGTTCCTGCCGAATCAGCTATTGTGTGATATACATACATACATATATATATGTATTTGTTTTTGTTTGTTCTAGTTTGAAGTACATTGGGGAATTGGTAATGGAATTTGCATTGTGCAGGCAGATAATTTCGATGCAGTCGAAAGAGTCGGAGTTTCCGGGAGCCACCGGAGATTGCTGGCTAACAAAACAGTGTTTGAGCTTATACAAAAGTGGTTAGGGGTTTCTCCGAGGGACAAGGGCAAGTGCAAGAAGACATCCAAGGTGATGATGGATGAATGGTGAGAGATTTTTTATATGTAAGAATGCTTTATTTATTATTATTATTATTTGATGAATATGGAAACCTCTTTGGATAAACTCTTGATAAGGCAAGTAGCTTCAACTCTCAAAGTTATGAGTTTATTTAATAATATGATTATTAGATATAAAGTTATTCTTAATATATAATAATAGAACATTACGTTTATAAGAAAAAATAATAACAATAATAAGAAATAGGTCAGATTTATTTTTAATTTTTTTTAGTAAATAGATTAGACCAAGACTAGACTAGGTTATATGTAGACCAGCCTAAATCTATTTATTTAGTAAATAGATTAAATTTCTTTTTTGACTTTATTTTCACTGTTTTGCTAAATTGATGTGACTAACTTAACGAGAATGTCTTAGTTAGGAAAGAGAAGGGGTGATAGAGGGCAAAGCTTGTCATTCGTCTAGTTTGTTTTATTGTGGAAGATAGAAATTCTATACCATATCCATTCGTGCGCTCATTTGATCGGGTACGATTCTAATAAAAATGGTTAAAGAAAAAAAGAATTCTTATTAGAATTAAAAAAAAAGAAAGAGTTCTTTTTAGGATTTAATAAGAAAAAAAAAAAAGTGGCAGGTGGACTTATTTTTACAAGTTCATTTTTACACCACCAGATTATTTTTTACAGGGAATTATATATATATATATATATGTAATATGTTTGTGGTGAATTATTTAGGGGAAGGTCTATAAAAGTTGTGTATATTGGATATTCTTCATTGTTGAAAAAAATCAATAATTATTTCAGATTAAACACAGATTAGTGGTGACTAACGAGATAACTCATTAGATATACATTAAACAAATTAATGTGGGTTTTATAGTATTTTATGTCGGTTTGTACGAGGATTTGAATTTTGGGCTGAGATTTTAATAATAAAATTTTAAATTTGAATAATTTTATGATATGATGTAAATAATAATTGATGTGACGTTTAAAATGTAAAATTATTTTTTTAATATAATATAAAGAATACAGACAATTGATTTGATATTTTTGGATTTATTTCTTTTTAGGAATACCGAAAATCTCACAAAATCCTTCAAACAAACGCACATTTCTTTCCCTTATGATTTTTAAAAATTACGTTCATGTGGATAGACTTGACGGAGATAAAGTGAATATTTGATGGGGTTTTATCACTAGCTTAATCTTCATGTAAACATTCGACACAATATATATACTTTATGTACTAAAAAAAAATTAGTAATTCAATAAAAAAATATTATTTTTATAGTACTGACATTATTTTTCATACATAATATAAAAAATATATTTACCCATACTAAGTAAACACAAATAAATTTTTAATAAAATATGTACTCCCTTCGTCTCAAAAGAATTTTTTTATTTTTTCATTTTATTCCGTCTTAAAACAATCACCATGTTTTCTTATTTAGTAATCGTGTTCCAACTGTACAACAAAATTACCTCTATTTATATGTATTCCTAATTATTAATACAGTTCATTTTCTCAACTACTTATAAAGTAAGGGCAATTTGGTCATCTAAATTCTACTTTATATTTCATTTCAATTTAATATTATTATTTCTTAAATTAGTAACAGTACTTTGATCATTTGAATTCTATTTTATAGTTTCTTTCAATTTAATACTATTATTTTTTAAATTTTGTGTTCACTTCCAATAAGACATCTCTTTTGGACGAAGATAACTTATTTTATGATATTTTAGATAAAAATAAATAAATGTTGAATGACATGGAAAAAATTTAATGAATAGTATAAAAATATGTAGTCATGTGTTATTCGATTTGATTATTATTATGTAATTTTTATAATTTCTTCAAAAAACATCACATTCAACATTTTTTTTTTCATTTAAATACCAAACTCAATAATTATTTAACCTAAAAAAATGTATAGAAAACCAAATAGATACAATTTAAAAAAAAAAAAAAACACCAAAAGAAAATATTAAATATAATGCTTTGTAAAATCATCAAATATGATGCATAATAATGATATTTAAAAAGGAATAAATATTAAATATAATATTATTTAAAGCTAAATAATCAAATAAAACTAGAAACAGTAAATAAAAATACAAGAGAGTATATAAAATAACAGCACCGACCTGTACTTTTTTGTTCTAGTAAATTTGAAGTGTAAAAAAGTAAAAATAAATAAATAAAATCATATCACGTAGCTAGAGTTTGTTTGCCTAATTAATTTTTTATGGAGATGATTGGCAATATTTATTATAAATATTATTTTTATATTATCAGTACTATATTTTATACCTTACCTAAAAAATTCCTTCAAATATAATACTCCTTTCGTCCCAGAACTATAGTCTGGGTTGTGTTTCACATTGGATTTAAAAAATATTGATATTATATTGGTAGTGGATAAAAAATACGGGTGAAAGACTTTTTTGCCCTTGTGAGTGTATCAGTGTAAAAAGTAGTGACAATTGTGTAATATTAATGAAAAAAAAATAATTTTATAATGATATGATTAAATATATAATAAAAATAAGCTGATAAATAAATAAATATTTAAAAATACATGTGTCCTAAATCAAAGATGTCCAGGTAATATAATAGTACTCCATCCGTTTCAAACACCGTGAAATATTTCTTTTTTTTAATGTCCCAAACACTATGCAACATTTCTAAATTAGGAAATAATTAATTATACTTAATCTATATCCTCGCACTTTATTTCATCACATCACCCTAATAAAAAAAATAAAATATATACTTCTTCCTCTATCATATACCTAATTACTCAATTATCTTACTTAATACTTCTTGCCTAATTTAAATGTAGCACCTTGTATGGGACGAGGGAGTATATATGAGTATATTTTATAAAATAAAATTATTAAAAAATAAAATAAAATAGGTGATTCTGAACCCTGAAGACAAGGGTTATTGTCCTGTGTAGAGGGCACATTAACGTATACTAGTAAATACCCTTTATTAGCTATATATATATATATATATATATATATATTTATTTATTTTAATATTATTATCACTTCCCTAGTTTTGTTCTTTAGCGTCTCGTCTCATATCTATCCTTCACTGGATTCTCGATCACTATTAATTTAATAATAATAATAATAATAATAATAATAATAATAATAATAATAATAATAATAATAATAATGTCTCTGTTAATTCTATAAATAATAAATAAATTTATTATATATTCCTGATCGGAATAAAATTCAAACTCTTAAAAAGTGAAAGTTTGTTTTGCTGCAAATCCCATATGGTGGCTGTGGATGTGCTCCCTTTAATACCCTCTAATTTATTAATATTAATATTAATATTAATAATATTTTTGTCCCTTCGAAAACAAATTTGTTTTCTAATTCCAAAATTTTCAAATTTTAATATTTAAACTATATATTTTTCTCAAAAAAAAAAAAAAAAAAAAAAAATCTCTTATAAACTATCTCACTAAATATTATAATAATGCCAAATCCAAATAAACACACTTGCTTGCAGAGTTTAATAAAATAGTCATCTTATTTAGTGTAAAAATATTTTGCATATAAATTGTAAATTCGAAATATCTATAATTTTTAGTAATGTTAATACTAAATAATAATTATTCATTTTAATTTTATTTTAAATTTTCTAATTTATTTTTTTAAAATTTTAATTAAACTAATAAGTTATCTTAATTTTAATTTATAATGATTTATATTATAAGTTAATTATTTTTACTAATACATTCTTAATTATCTACTAATTATATTTATCTTAAATTATCGTGTCAGTGACCAAAATGTGGGACGGAAGTAATATTACATAATATTTAAACAAAAAAAAATTCAAATTAATTTCTTTTATTATAATAATGTTTGAAAATACAATAAAGAAAGTTATAATCCCATAAACGGTCAAAATGACTGAAATTAATATCATGATTTTATTAAAATAATAGTAATTGTTAAATAATTAACTGAGTAATATTTATGTATAATGATTAGTTTATAAGTCCAAGAAAGGAAGTTATAGAGCTACTTAGGTTTGTGTTTTCAAAGTAATTTTCTCACTACTCTTTTAAATTTATTTTAATGTTTAAAATTATATTATCTACTATATCTAATATTTATTTTTTATAAAAATATTACATCAAATATTTAATATTATTTACTTTTAAAAAAATATTTTAAAACATCAAAATATTAAATATATATATATATATGAAAAAAACAATCTTATACAAGGTTGTGTTTTTCTATGAATTTTATTATAAATTTTTACTATTCAAATTTTTTTTAATAAAAATATCAAATCAAACAATTATTATTTTTTATATTATATTATAAATTAATTTTACATTCAAAATATCACATAAGTTCAAATTCAATTTTTTTTATTATTAAAAAATTCAAACCCGCAAACAAACACATCCTTAATGTGTCTTTGGTTACCATTTCAGTTTAAAATCACATTATGTTTCTATTTTTTTCTAAATATTAAAATTTATATTAATCATAAATAAATATTATATATATTTTTATACAAAGTTTATTTAAATATAACTTTTGAAATATCTAAACATATATTTTAATTCTTTTTATTATATATATTATATCATAAATAAAATATTAATGAAATAAATCATTTCAAATTCAACTTATAATCCAACCGCTAAGTAAACACACCCTTAATATATATATATATATATCATGTAACTCTTATCATTTTAAATAGAAAAAAATGCTTATAATTGACATGTGATTTAAAAAATCGACATTTTATTTCCTAGTAAGTTAAAAATTGCATGAGGTTTCCTCATATTTAAAAAAAAAAAAAATACACAATTTTTTCTTAAAATTACATAAAATTCCATTGTTTTTTTTTTTTAAATTAATGCACATAATTCTCAAAGCAAATCGCAATATTTTCAAAACACAAGCAGATCTCATGTAATATTTTTTAAATTACTAGAGAGAATAATACATACATCTCAAATCACAAGTAACTAAATAATTTTGTTTAAAAGAATGTGTTACTTTAACAAAATATTAAATTCAAAGCAAAATATAAAACAAATTCTAAGTAAATAACCCCTATTTTTTTAAAAAAAAATACAAAATCAAATTTCAAAGTAAA